TAAGCACCTTTATACCAGCCCTAGGGGTTGTAGAACTATTTTAATTAAAAGAAAATCATTCTGCTAGGTGAACATTAAACCTGTATAAAACCACTGTATATACCAGGCCTGGGTTTCTCTGGCAGCCATACTTCATTTAGTGTCACGATCTTGGATCACCACCTGCTGTCTGCCAGAGGAATTTATCTGAATAACATTCCACTGAAGAGGGAAGTCATTTAGTAAATGTTGCCAGCTCCATACCTTTTGTAAGCTATTACTCTTCTACATGGGCTCATCTACATATAATTTATGCCCGGAGTTAACTAACGTTAGAGCTGCATGCTATACTAGACTGGTGTAAACTTGTGTGCTTGGGGCCACACTATAGCTTTTGCTCTAGTTTAACCAAATTAGTTTTTAAACAGTTTCATTTGGTTCAAAAACTGTGCTAGGCAAGCCCTAAGTGGAAGTGGATCTTTGTCTTTAGGCTCTGGATCTGTTGTGCTCTGGACCACTGCCTCAATTTTATTTCTAAATGGAATATCAGATTTCTTTCCAGGAATGGATAAAGGTGCATGTGAATGGTGTCAAAGAAGTGGAGCTATGCCAGTAAATCAGATGAACAATACTGGGGAGATGGGAGTTAGTTTGAGCCTCTACTTGATCACAGATGAATAGGGGGTAGAGGGAGGGTAGTGGAGAAGAAGTGCAAGGGAATTTTTGCTTACTGTGAATTGCAGGATAAGGTACCTTGTAATCCTCTTTCTTTCAAAAGCAGTACATATATATCTAGCAATTGCCAAGCCACTGTCATCCTGGGAGGGTTTATGGTTGCGCTGAACTGCCTTTCATATGCAGCAAGTCTATGGTGGTTGCTAGTGTAGCTGGAGTAAAAAGAGTTTGAAACTTAAACTTCTGACCAGACTCATGAGTCAAGGAGATAAGATTGTAGAGATTGGGTAGTCATTGTCCTTTCAGGCCTCTCGTTTTCACTTCTGCACCTGCTTACGGTTATAAGAAGGTTTGCATGTCTTCATGGTGTTCAGACATGGGAGGTAGGAAGAAGCAGTGTGCTGAAATGTCATTGTTTTAATTGCTGGGTTTCCTTTTATATTGTATGTTAATGAAGGATAAGGAGCCCAATCCTGCCAACAGCTATACTTAAAGTAAAATTTGAGATCTTAGTTCTTGTGTAGTCCTTGTATAGGTGAAAAGTTGCACAGATATTGTGGATTACATAATAGTATTAACAGGTATAACTCACTAAACACCTAGAAGTGGAGGACAATCCTACCTTGAACAGGGGGCTGGACAGGATGACTTCTTGGGGTCCCTTCCAACCCAACTATTCCATGATTCTAAGGTAACAGGACATTAATGGTTCTCGCAGGTAATGATTTGAGAGGTATTGCAAATGCTAGTGTGGACAGGTAAAGAACACAAAAAAATTCCAGGGGGTATAGGCATAAAGGAAGAAAATGAGATTAAACTGGAAAGGTACAGATAAATGCATCTGGAGAAAAACAACCTACATTACAGATATTTTAATTGTAGG